TTTCAGAACTATACAAGATCAAGAGCATTTCCAGGAAAATGAGAGAGGCCTGTATTTTAAGTTATTAATTCTTGGAAATGAGTCACATATTTGCGTGTCCCCTTTCGTTTTTTCAAGGCTACTGTGACGTTTGGAGCTGTAAAAACCTTTATTTCGATTGTCTACGATGAAGGGTAGCGAGCTAAGCCTACGGTGAAGTTGATGCGAACTTGTGTAGCGTGATCACTATCAAACCCACAACAAGTTGAGAATCAAACCCAAGAAAGTCAAAGACAAGGTTTTAGATTAAACTCAATAAACTGGAACCAAGCAATCTAAATCGTCGAAAATATGTGAATCTCTTGATTACACAATTTAAATGAATCGCACCCGGTTGATTTGAACGTCACAAGATTAATCTTGATAAGTTCACAAGTTGTTCAATGAAAAACGAGAGAAAGCAATTAATGCTTCACGAATAATATTCAATAATATGAGAGTTGTAATGATTTACAATAAGGAATAAAGTATTTATACTATTCTAGAGATTAAGTAAACTAGGAAAAATGTTTAAGAATAATGTAAAATTCGTCCACAATAGCCTAATTATGGTAAAAATCTACTAATAATGAAAGACTATTAAAATAAGGAAAAAACGTGAAATTTGAAAAAATTCGTCTCGGACTTATGTGGCCGTATAGTTTTAGAGCATGCAGTCGCATAGTGCAATTGGTCTGCAACTTTGGGATTTCTGCTGGGTGTATGCGACCGCAGGACTTTAAACCTATGCAGTCGCATGGTTTAATGCTTCAGCTCCGTTTTCTTCAGTTTTAAACACGCTGATTCAATACTCTTCGGCCTTCGTCTCCAACACGAAACTTGCTCCATTTTGCATTTCGAACATTGTTTCATCAACCGTTGCTTTGACGAGCTATCTCATTGCCTCTTTCACGCGCTTGGCCCTCGATCGCGTCATCGGCCCCTCGACTATCAACGGATCTCTCCTCGGGCTCGACTCTGGACTTGACTTTGGTACTTGTACTTCCTGGATCATATCATCCCCTCCCTCTTCAAAATGGTTCGACCTCGAATCTGGACCTGCATCGAAAAGAGATAAGTTAGAAACATTGAAAGTTGCAGAAACACTATACTCACCTGAAAGATCTATCTTATAAGCGTTGTAGTTGATCTTCTCAATCACTTGGAACGGTCCATCTCCTCGTGTCAATAACTTTGATTTTCTTTGCTCTAGGAATCGCTCTTTCCTGAAATGCACCCAAACCCAATCTCCCGGTTCGAAAGTGACGTATTTCTGGCCTTTGTTTGCTTGTGTTGTGCGTTGATTGTTCTTCCTCTCTATTTGCTCCCTTACCTTTTCATGGAGTGTCTTCACCAATTCGGCTTTCTTTTTTCCATCTAAGCTATCTTGTTCATTCACAGACAAATGTATTAAATCCATATGTGTTAAAGGATTAAAACCATAAACAATTTCAAATGGTGAAAACGACGTAGTAGAATGCGTTGCCCTATTATATGCAAACTCAATGAAGACAAACATTCTTCCCAATTCTTTAGATTTTTATTAACCACAGTGTGTAATAGTTGTGTCATTGTTCTATTCATTACTTCAGTTTGACCATCGGTTTGTGGGTGACAAGCTATAGAAAACAATAATTTCGTGCCTAACTTATTTCACAAGACCCGCCAAAAGTGACTAAGAAACTTAACATCCCTATCGTATACAATACTTTTGGGAACACCATGCAAACGCACTACTTCTTTGAAAAACAAGTCCGCAATGTTAGTGGCATCATCGGTTTTGTGACATGGTATAAATTGTATCATTTTACTAAACATATTCACCACAACAAAAATTGAATCACGTCCCTTTTTAGTTCTAGGCAAACCTAACACAAAATTCATTGAAATGTCAACCCAAGGTTCTCTAGATACCGGTAAAGGTGTATAAAGTTCATGGGGTAAAACCTTTGATTTAGCCTTTTTACAAGTTATGCAACGACTATAAATTCGTTCTACGTCAATCTTTATTTTAGGCCAATAAAAGTGTTCATTTAACATGTCTAAAGTCTTTGCTACCCCCAAAGTGATCTATTAAACCCCCACTATGTGCCTCCCTAACCAACAATTCAAGCATTGAGCAATTAGGAATTTTTTCGAAACAAATACCCCTCATACTTAAAGAACTTGTCAATAGCCTTCTTATTATATGAATTGTAGATACTAGAAAAATCAAGATCGTTTTCATACATGCCCTTAACATACTTAAAATCAAGTAATTTCACACTTAAAGAAGTGAGAAGCACATACCATCGCGACAATGCATCAGCTAATATGTTTTCTTTACCTTGTTTGTATTGAATGACATATGGAAAAGTCTCTATGAATTCCATCCAACGTGCATGTCGTTTGTTCAACTTACATTGACCGCACAAATGTTTCAATGATTCATGGTCGGTGTGAATAACAAACTCCTTCGCCCATAGATAGTGTTGCAATGTCTCCAAGGCTCGAACTATAGAATAAAGCTCCTTGTCATAAGTAGGATAGTTAAGAGCTGCCTCACTTAGTTTCTCACTAAAATATGCTATCAGCCTCTTTTCCTGCATCAAAACTGCTCCAATACCTATTCTTGATACATCACACTCAATCTCGAAAGTTTTGTCAAAATTAGGAAGTGCTAAAAGGTGCTTTACATAAATATTTTTTGATGGTGTTTAATGCATGTTCTTGTTCTACACTCCATTGGAACCCAACGCTCTTTTTGACAATTTCAGTAAGTGGTGTGGCAAGTGTGCTAAAATCCCTAACAAATCGCCTATGAAAACTAGCTAACCAATGAAAACTCCTAACCTCGGTTATGTTTCTAGGTGTTAGCCAATCTTTAATAGCTTTTACCTTTTCCTCATAAACTTCAACCCCATTAGCACTCACCACAAATCTTAGAAATATGATTCTATCCATGCAAAATGTGCTTTTCTTCAAATTAGCATAAAGTCGTTCATTTCTTAAAACCACAAGCACACATTTAAGATGTTCTAAATGCTCTCCTAGATCCTTGCTATAGATTAGAATGTCATCGAAGTAAATCACAACAAATTTTTCAATGAAAGCACGCAAAACATGGTTCATTAATCGTATAAACGTGCTTGGTGTATTTATGAGTCCAAAGGGCATAACTAGTCATTCATACAGCCCATATTTCGTTTTAAATGCTGTTTTTTCCATTCATCATCCTCTCGCATATGAATTTTATGATACCCGCTCTTAAGGTCAATTTTAAAAAGATGCAAGAACCATATAATTCATCTAACATGTCATCTAAATTAGGAATTGGGTGACGATACTTTACCGTGATGTTGTTGATAGCTCGGCAATCCATGCACATCCTCCAAGTTTCATCGTTCTTTGGCACCAACAATACGGGTACCACACATGGACTCATGCTGGCACTTGCCTTTAAAGCTCCTTTGTTTCCTCCGAATTATTTCGATAAGCTGGTCGGTTTGGAATGACAGCTCTAGATATGAAATCAATTTGATGTTCGATCCCCCTAATGAGTGGCAATCCACTAGGCACGTCTTCCAAAAACACATCGTCAAAT